CTGCAAAAAAAAAAAAAAAAGAAGTCAGCACCTTCTCCACGGTAGTTTTCCAGCCCCTCAGCAGTCGCTGTGAGCCCTGAAAGGAGGCACCCCTTGCCAGAGTCTGTCTGTCTGCGGTTTCCTGAGGGCCTAGGGCTGGCTCGTCCGAGGTCGTCCCTGCACCAGTGCCCTCAGCTCTACCTGAGGACGCACAGCCCCGGCCATTACTGGGACAGGGAGAGGAGAGCTCGCCAGCCTGCATTTCTGTCCACCAAAACTCCCCCTTTGTCCCGCATGTACTTAGAAACCCATTCCTCTTTCACAGTGACGCCATCAGGGAGAAGATGAAGAAGAACTACATGTCCAACCCGAGCTACAACTATGAGATCGTCAACCGGGCCTCGCTGGCCTGCGGCCCCATGGTGAAGTGGGCCATTGCACAGGTGACTAGCTCGGGCGCCCGTGCGGACGGCGACAGCTTTTCCTGTCACTTCCCAGTCACACGCATCCCTGTGCCCTTCAGCTTAACTACGCAGACATGCTGAAGAGGGTGGAGCCCCTGCGCAATGAGCTGCAGAAGCTGGAGGACGACGCCAAGGACAACCAGCAGAAGGCCAACGAGGTGGAGCAGATGATCCGGGACCTGGAGGCCAGCATCGCCCGCTACAAGGAGGAGTACGCCGTCCTCATCTCAGAGGCCCAGGCCATCAAGGCCGACCTGGCCGCCGTCGAAGCCAAGGTGAGAGCATGGCCGTGGCTCCCACTGGGGCCACCCGTGTCCACACGGCGCCATACCCTGGTCCCTGCGAGTGCACCGTTCAGTGCCCGCCAGCGTCCCCAGGACTTCCCTGCTAGGTTACGCACTGTGTACTCACCAAGTGATGTGAATTAGGGTATAGACACCAGCTGGTCGCTCACACCCGCCAGGGTCCCCACGCCCCTTCCTTGCTGCCTGCTTCCAGCTGCAGACCTGCGCGTTCTCTGAGGGGCTCCCCGCCAGCGTCTGCCATCCCCTCCCCAGAGTCTCTGTGGCTCACGCCTGCGCTCCTCAGATCCCGAGGTGCTCCCATCTTCTTGCACTTGTGGTCCTTGCCGTCACCCTCGCCTGGCTGTCCCTCCCGCCCTCCTGTTCCCACCTCTCCTCACACGGGTGTCTCCAGGCTGAGTCAGTCCCTGCACTGGTGCCGCCCACGTCAGGCTCGAAGTCTGTGCTGTCGCGGCGCGCCCAGTCTGGGCCCCCCTGCCTCCAGCTCGTTTCCAGCCCACACACCCCGCACGTGACGTGGGTGACGACGCCCCAGCAAGCCCTGCCGGTCCCAAGCCCTGGTCGGGTTTCTTCCAGGTGAACCGGAGCAGCTGGAGAGCTTGTCTGCTGAGGGGGAACGATGGGAGAAAACAAGCGAGACGTTCAAAAACCAGATGTCCACCATCGCCGGGGACTGCCTGCTGTCCGCGGCCTTCATCGCCTACGCCGGCTACTTTGGCCCGCCGGTGCGCCCGAACGCCTGCTGCCCGCGGCCTTCATCGCCTACGCCGGCTACTTTGACCAGCAGATGCGCCAGAACCTGTTCACCACCTGGTCCCACCACCTGCAGCAGGCCAACATCCAGGTACCGGTGGGCCTCAGTGGGAGCCGCGGGGCGGCGGGGGCTTGCACAGGCTGCCCTGGGGACGGTCCCCTCTGAGGAGGCAGAGAGGTAACAGCCCGCCCTCAGTTCCGCACAGACATTGCCCGGACGGAGTACCTGTCCAACGCCGACGAGCGCCTACGCTGGCAGGCC